TTTTCCCAGACAAGAAGCTTGTCCTGTTCAATCACGTGATCCCCGAGGACATCGAACCGCATAAAGATAGTTGGACCCCGGAAAGAGTACGGGATAGAGAGAGGGCGCTCTTCAAAATCGCTGATAAGGCAGATGCAGTGTTCTCAGTGGGACCGCGGGTGTACAGTCATTTCGAGAATAAATATCGTGCATTCACTTCAAAGACAGTGTGCCACAAGAAATTTCTTCCCCAGCCAAGTAAAAGTTTCTTCGACATAGAAATACAGAAACCCAAAGCCGACGGACGAGTGCAGATTCTTACATTTGGTCGCATTTGGGGCGTTGAGAAGTTGAAAGGGTATGACATCGTCGCCAAGGCAGTAGGGCGAGCGGTGAAGACCTTGCGCAAAGTAAAACCGCAGTGTTCACCAGTCTGGATTATCCGTGGTGTCCCAGAAGGGGAACATCAAGAGACTAGGGAGTTTCTCAAAATATCACACGGCTGTGATTTTCTAGATATAAAACTATATCCATATGGAACCCAGGATGATATATGTATGGACCTAAAACAGAGCCACGTCTGTGTTATGGGTTCCAGATCGGAGCCATTCGGTTTGGTCGGCATGGAAGCGATAGCATCGGGACTACCCGTTCTTGTAACTAAAAACTCGGGCCTTGCTGATTTCCTGTACGAGTCGTTTTGCCTTGAGGCCAAAGAAATGGTAGTAGACGTCGGTGTTGGTGAAATATCAAAGGAAAACGACGTAGAAAAATGGGCTGACAAAGTTATACAGATTCTAACGAATTATGACAATGCCTTTGAATTTGCTCAGCGAATGAAACAATCATTGCAGAATTGCGACGCCATCAAGAACTCGCAAGAAGAACTCCTTGGAGTATTGAATGTATAAATAATATACAACACAATACCTTGATTCTCACTATGTAAAATGTGATTAAAGTGCGCCCATTTTTAGACCCACTGTTGATATTTAGTATAAATGTCTGTCAGATTTGCTCATTTTGTGACTTTATCTTCAGTTCCCTGATTTTATCAAATATTTTTTTCTTTAAAACTACTAGTTCAATTTCTTTGATAATTTGTATGTTGGTACTATTGCTGTGAGATTTATTTATTTCCTTCCGTGACGATATTTTCAATTTTAGTTTTGTCCTTTTTGTGATTTTTTGTTTGTTTTTAAACTTTTTATTGAAACTACCAGTTACATTACTGTGATACCTGGTATGGTTCGTAACGAGGTGATAAACATTGTAATTGCCATAGCAGCAACTATATAAACTAACGTATTTGTGAATTGGTAAGAACAATGTGGGTACAATAACCATGAAAAACAGTTAATAACTCATCGTCTAGAACAATGTCAAATTTGTTTTGAGGAAGACAATCATCAAAGACAGCAGAGCGATTTCAACCGTGACGTCGCTTGTTCATTTGTGTGATTGTGGTTTTACGTACTTATTACTCTTAGATCCACGATGTATGATTTGGAAATGCAACATATAAGTTAATGCTCATATTGAAACATTTCGATTCTATCACTGACCATTGACATGATAATTTTTAATTTGTGTTCTAGTTAGGATAGCGTGAGCCTCGAGTTCGAATCCAGACTGCATACTATACAAACCCAAACACTGTATTTTGAAATTTACAAATATGAACTGAGAAATATTGCCCCATGATTCCAAGAGATATTCAGAGTTGTCAATTAATGTGTTGTTTTTAGAATAGTTGATATACTTTGCGAGTTTAAATATATCGATGTAAGAGGCACCTTTTGTGACGTTTTAAAATCATTCCAAAATAGAAGTGGCTCGCCCACGTGATTATTATCTCATACCCGCAAACATTTGTTTATGATCGACAAAATTACTAGTGTATATGTAACATTTTTTCACTTGAGCGAGAGCACAGCTCAACATTTGTTAGAGGGAAATATGTTATCAATGACATCAGTTATTAACATTTTGGTTCACACTCCGTTGCAGTATTGTTTAGAATTAACAACTTGCATGTTTTAGTTAGACATTATAAACATATATTAATATATTTGTGCCAATTGTATTTAGTAGTTGCAACTTTGCAAGGCTTTAACCGTGAGACACATCCCTGGTAATCACGTGATCGTGCCAACGACTGCAGCGATTGGCTGATCGCATGTTTACTCTGCCACGCCTTAGAGATTTGTAATTGAGGTTGTAATGTTTGTACGGAAAGAGAACGAGAGAAGTGGACAGCAAGGGGTTACCTCAGCCATGGAGCTAGCTCCATGTCTCAGCTGAGTGACCGTTCGGGCGAATAAAGCTGAACTATCTGCGAAGAACGAATGTGTGTATTCCTTCGGGTACGAACCTGGTATCATCTTCATGTCAAGAGTCATCTACATGTTCGCCGAAATCCTTCTCCCGAAGTCCTCCTGCCACAACACTAATAGTGTTCACAACATGGCGAGAACAATGTGGGTATAATAACCATGGAAACATTGTTTTTGAGGAAAACAATCAGCAAAGACAGCAGAGCGATTTTGACCGTGAGGTCGCTTGTTCATTTGTATGATTGTGTCACTTTACGTACTTATTTTTACGTACTCATCTATCGATGTTGCACAATTTATTCAGTCAAGTATGAAAATCAGAGATGAATTATACATGTAACAGCTCCACCAAACTAAGTAGTATTAGTGCTTTATAGTAGCTTTTATTCGTCTTTTAATACATTTGTGTCTGTACGTAGTTTTTAGTTTATTCTTGTTTTTATTTGTTCTTAACTTGTTTTTTGTTTTGTTTTTGTTCTTTTGTTATACAACCATAAAAACAACTTTTGTAGTATGTTTTTCGTGTTGAATAAAAATTATTATTATTATTATTATAATTATAATTATGTATTATTATTATTATGACCGCGATGTATGCTTTGGATATCTAACATATACATTAATGTTCATATTGAGACATTTTGATTCAAAATAAAACTAAACTCTTCAATTAGCTGACGTCAATTTCCGTAGTTAGGCGCCATTATATTATGGTCATGGCGGTTGTATGACGTAACCATATCGGGTGACCATGATTTATCAATGTGATATATTCGCTATAGCAAATCCACGAAACACGCGCTTGCAGAATTTGAAGGAAGTGGTCTAGGATTTGCTGAAAGACGTATTTATTACTGAAATTAACCATAATCCATGATATGGACAAAAAATAATACAATCCTCAGACCACAAAATGTTTCAAAACATAAGCAAGGAACCATGCCACCGCGAACTATTTTTCCCGTGAGCGGATTGATATATTTAAAATGCTAAGCTGCCTGTTAGGCTCGTGTAAAGTGGTACAATAACTTCTCTAACTGTGCCCTGACGCTACGAGGGAACACGTGTCAAAGCCGAGTGCAAAGGTAAGGTCACATTGAACTACTTCTCAGAGCGAGTCTAGGAAGACGAGTACACTGAATGCGATCATGATATTCTTATTGTATCCGTAGTAAATTACGTATTAGGCAATGATGTTCAAACTATAGACACGATGACTCTCTGTCATAGACAGACTGTGGTGCGGGTCAGCTTTGTGCTCCTTTCGTATTTCTAAAACTGTAAATTACAACACGCGTGACGGAATGTCGGTTTGACGCCAGGTCATGTTTCACACGATATGGACGATATGTTCACAGTCCTTCTTGACTGTGTCTAACCCATAAGATATAATCGTACAATGGTAATCACGATGTCTGGTCCATGCCGAGATCGATGCGTACAACAGCGCCATGGTAAAAAGACAATACTGAATCGCAGTTCAGTTTACTGTAAAACAAACACAACTAATGAGATGGATGGTTGTTGAAGGAGTTGGTCAACTTTGACCTGTTTCCCGTTTGTTTTGAATTCGGCGAAAAAGCTAAGGCTCCAGTTTCGCCGAACGCAACAACTATGTATTTGGTGCAAATTATATCTAGTAATGTAAAATACTTTATTTTAGCTGGATTTAATTTTCGCTAAAAAACTTACATCCGACTTTTTGGGTGTTTTGTATGGAATTTATGTAAAATATAGGGAAAAGGGTATATTCACTGGATTTTATTTTCACTGCATTATTCCTTCAGCGAAAATTAATTCCAAGCGAAAATAAAGTATTATGCAGTATGTGGGCCGCTACAGGCCGGAAGTGTACCACCGAAAAAACATTTTTATGGACCACTCAAAGCAAACCTTCGAGTCTATGCTAAACGATACCAAATTAAGGTAGCGAGAATGGTTTGCTGACGTTTTAAATAAAGCATTCTTTGACTGTTGCCCCATTCAGAACTGTAATTTAACGTACTAGTATGTGTTTTGAAAGCCTGCGAATAAGAGGGACAAGTTCGCACAAACTCGGTCATTGTTTACATAATTATCACGTGTCAAGCAAAATGGCAAACCTTGTGCAAATAACTAACACTGTGGAGTTTCCGGGTGAAATATGCGCAATGCATTGTCCGTTATAAAGTCCATTGAAATGCGTCTCCATCGATCAAAAGACCTATTCTTCCGATTGCTGCGTAGGTTTGTTTTTCCATAGTCCTTTTTAGAACAGGGACATGCAACTGTGGGTATTCCTTTCATGTAACCATGGATGTTTTTTTAGTACATCCATGATGTAACCTTGGTTATAATTCCCTGACCCAATTAACACCTTTGAGAAACTGACAATAAAGCTATGTCTGTTACATCCTCTCCCGTTCCATTAGCCGTGGAGGTAATAATTAGCCAAGCCACAGTCACAGAGGGACTGTGGCCAAACCTGACAGGGTGTAGCTACTCAAAATGAATCAACTCTGTGGTTAGAATAAAATCAGAAAAAATTACATTTGATCTAAGCTGAATAGCCCAGATTCAATTGAATCAGATATAGGTGAAACTAAAAATTTCCAATAAACAGTTATTATTCCACTATGAAAACATGAAAAGGAGAAATAAAAAGGGTATTTTTTTCTCTACAAGGAAACAACACGGCCTAAAAGCATGGAGGTAAATGAAATCATTTTCTCAATTTCTAACAACAGTGGTTACGATCTAATATTTTACCCATAATCCTTTGCTGAAGAACTAAGATGGTCGACTACATAATACTGGTGAAAAATTGAATATCTAGAGAATGAAAAGTGATATATAATAAACTGTAAATTGCATGTCTTTACATTTGCCAAGCTCTTTCATCTGGGAGTATTATTTTTGTCAGCCTTGACTTTTCCTTTAACATATTTCTTCCCTATAATCGTGTAACTAACAAGTATACCTTCCTAGAAAGTTACTGCACTAGTAATCACAGATCAATAGGAGGGGTCATCACCTGCGCAAGCGCTGGAATTGAGTCCCAAGCAACGATAACAACACATGCTAAAAACACACAGGCTCATGGGTAGACACTTGTTTGTAAACAATGGCATGCTATGGCCAACTTACGCATGCGCAGGTGATGACATGAACACGACCATTGACCTTGTGTACACATGGCATTAAATCGGCCAGTGATTAAAAACATCGCTAAGTCTCATTACGTTGGTAATGGCGTTATCAACGGTTTTTCACCGCCAAAATGAAAGCAGTTTTATTTGTTATTTGAATGAAGCGTGAGATAATTTTTTTATAAATATTTACAAATGTCCATAAAACAAATCCACGCTTTCACGAAACCCGGTGTAACTACAGCGAATTTTAATGATATCAATTCATACTACATTGGGTGATCAACATTCAAGATTACCACAACCTTTCAACAACAAAACCTCAGGTGTAATTTAGAGAGAATCATGTTCGGTCGACATCAACGATTAAGCAATCCCACGTCATACTTTAGGGCGCTGTGCAGTACTAGTACTTTACTAAACTTATGTTCTGTATAGGAAATGTTCGTGCACCCAGGTTACCCACAGCACTTCTGGACCAAGGAATGCAAGTGGTCTGAAATGAATGTAGCAGAATCTGGACGTGCTGTGTTATAAAACACTCGATCAAACCTAATTATATTTTTGAAATTGACGCCAAATTATAACTTTCCACGAACAAGTGGAACGATAGTTTCAGATAACACAGAGCTACCGTAATTGTCAACTTGTTGAGCCGTGAATTTCAAAAGCCATACTAGTAGTTATTGTTTACGCGTGTTACTGTAACGTTTTATATTACTACACCTTTCAGGATATTCTGTGTTTGACATTTGCTGACATGGCTGAACAATCAAAGAAGCGTAGAAAGTACAGTAACAATAAAAGGTAAGTGTTGTATGAGATGAAAACAAGGATTGCTAGTATATTACACTGTGGGGAGTAACGATGTTTAAAGATAAAAGGTCCGGTGGCATTATCGCCTTCGCCTCGACATTAAATTAGGCTTTCATATCACGAAGATGGAACATTACTAACTGTAACGGTGGTTACTAGTAGTATCAATGTGACGGGGATGTTATATTTGTTCGTTTTCTGTTTTACTTCGCTCGTGTTTCGAATTAAATTCATTTGTTTTATTAATTGTACACCCCAACGATAATTTCTGTCATTTCAGTATACTGGTTGTCAATGACGAATGGGGGACTGCTAAAGGTGGCATATCAACGATAAACCGAGAAGTAGCAATCACTGCAGCCAACAACGGCATTGATGTCCATGCACTAACACTAAGCACTACGTCAGAAGATAAAGATGATGCATTCGAAAATGGAGTCACGCTTATCACGCCAAAAATTAAGAAACACCTTCAAGACAAAGATCCTAGGCCAGACTGGTTCGTACTGCACGAGTCTTTCTTCCCGACTTTAGGTTGCAATGTTACTGGAGTTGAAACAATAATCGGCCATTTGCCAATCACTGGCAATGAAGCCATATCATTGAAAGAAGAACTTTTCCCAGGCAAGAAACTTGTCCTGTTCAATCACGTGATCCCCGAGGACATCGAACCGTATAAAGATGGTTGGACCCCAGAAAAAGTACAGAATAGGGAGAGGGCGCTCTTCGAAATCGCTGCTAAGGCAGATGTAGTGTTCTCAGTAGGACCGCGGATGTACAGACATTTCGAGAATAAATATCGTGCATACACATCAAAGACAGTGTGCCACAAGAAATTTCTTCCACAGCCAAGTAAAAGGTTCTTCGACATAGAAATACGGAAACCAAAGGACGACGGACAAATGCAGATTCTTACATTTGGTCGCATTTTGGGCGTTGAGGAGTTGAAAGGGTATGACATCGTTGCCAAGGCAGTAGGGCGAGCGGTGAAGACCTTGCGCAAAGTAAAACCGCAGTGTTCACCAGTCTGGGTCATCCGTGGTGTCCCAAAAGAGGAACATCAACAGACTAGAGAGTTTCTCAACAAATCACACGACTGTGATTTTCTAGAGATAAAACTATATCCCTATGGAACCCAGGATGATATACGTATGGACCTAAAACAGAGCCACGTCTGTGTTATGGGTTCCAGATCAGAGCCGTTTGGTTTGGTCGGCATGGAAGCGATAGCATCGGGACTACCCGTCCTTGTTACTGCCAACTCGGGTCTTGCAGATTTCCTGTACGAGTCGTTTCGCCTTGAGGCTAAAGAAATGGTAGTAGACGTCGGTGTCGGTGAAATAGGAACAGGAAAAGACATAGAAATCTGGGCTGACAGAGTTACACAGATCCTTATGGATTATGACTATGCCTTTAAATTTGCTCAGCGAATGAAAAAATCATTGCAGAATTGCGACGCTATTAACGACTCACAAATAGAGTTCCGTAGATTTTGCTTTTAGTGTTAGTATTGAATTGATATAATATGCCGAAAATTAATGATGCGACTACAGTCCGCTATTTTTTATTTGTACGGTTCTGCCACGTTGCTCTAAAAATAAATGCAGTTTAGATTACGCAATATTCACATGAATGATGTGCACATTGTTATACATGCGATGTTGTTAAAATGTTTATCATTAACTGGTAGTGAACATTGTTTATTGTTATGGTTCCCCTCAAAGTCGGTCAAGTTTAGTGGCCACTATGAGTACATGAGTAAAGCGGAAGGGTTGTCACCTGCGCACGCGCGGGAGTTGAGTCCCAAGCGATGATAACAACACACGCTACGAACGCAAAGGCTCATGGGTAGACGCTTGTTTGTAAACAATGACACGATATGGCCAACTCACGCATGCGCAGGTGACTACACCCCGCTTTAAGTAAACAATACTTATACGCAGATGTCACACTTGCCGATGGCATTTTTTCCTGAACACTGATTTAGAATGAAGCTTAAACATTGTAATTTTCAAATTTACGAATATCAACTGAGAGATTCAAACATATACTGGTTGTCAATAAATATTTGTATTCTGCAATTGTATACGATTGCTTGCTTCACCGAACCAACCATTGTTGTGTGGCTGCAAAAGGGAGGATCGATCACGACCCCTCTCAGTGAATGTAATGTTCTTTGCATGTTCAATTTTTAGAAATCCAGCGGCCATTTTTTGCCTTCTGTTTGACCTGATGGTTTGATTTTACATGAGGATATGCTGTTCTAATGTGTTATGACACTAACTACTAGTACCATAAATTAATAATAATACCATAAATTTGGATGTATAATTATTTATTCCCAATAAAATAGATCCACCAAACCACAACAGTTATAGCAATGATATACATATTACCCTAATGTAAAATTACATTTGTCTGAGATTCTAAACTACATAATATACTAATATAGTGCACACACACAATCTACATTCACTGGATTTCTAAGTTTCGTAGATAGATAAATTCGACAATTCTAATATGTATAATTAAGAGAAAAGTACATTATTTTTGACTAACACAAAAAAAGTTTCATTTGAAAAATCGTGGAAATCAATTTTGTAAAAGGTGAAAGAAATGATAGGGTTAAGATAAACTGTAATTCAACAAGTCACGTGATGACATGACGAAGTTGTTCAAGGCATGTCAGAGACATGGCACTACCCTACAACAGCATTCGTTAACATTTCATTCAGACATTTCGAATCTCATCTGAAAAATATATAGTTCCATTATGTTCAAAGTATGTTTCAAGTTTGAACAAAAGCTGTGCAAGTATAACGGGAATTCTGGATGTATTATCAATATTAAAATGACCGGCATTCAGCCATCTTGAATTTGTTTGTGACACGATTGCATGTGTCACATATGTATATCATGATGTATGATTTATATATAAAATTCAAACATGACCGGTCAAAGCGTGTCAGAAATGTGGCTCTGTTACAGCATTAATTAAAATGACTGCCTGTCGGCCATTTTTAATATGATCAAAAGAAAACATTAAATACATCAACATCTTATAATAACAAATGAATGTACTAAGTTTGAACGAACGAAATTCATCAAACGCGACCAGAATTGTATGATTTCGCTGAATTTTCAACTTCAATAGCCGTTATACAACATTTTTAATCCGATTGTCAAACTAATATATGAACATATGTAGAACATAATGGATGACGTATATACTAGAATACATTTTGAAAGTGAATACACTAAGGTCAATCAATATTTTCTAACTAAAATGTTCGTACATTAAATGTACCAATTGTATGCTGTCTGTATAAGTAAGTGAAAAGTGTACCATAAGGCACATCATTGTTTGTCCGCTAGATGAACAAATGCTAAATATCCGAAGGAGGTGTGAAATGATCATTATAAAAAACGACTGTAAAATCAAATAAAAGTGATTTTATCATGGCGGTCAAATCTGCTTGGGTTCACCAAGCACCCCTTTCCGATGGTAAACATTGATGAGTGCATAACAAATCCGACTGACATTAAAATGCAAAGTGCTGTAAATGTTAATGTATGTTGCATATCACTACAAGAAAGTAAGTTTAACTGGCGTTAATCATAACATGTGTCCACTAATCTTACGTAAGCCAAACGTGGTGAGATAATGACAATTATCGCCATGTAAATGAAGGCATCCTTAATCCTGTAAATTCTCTAAACCCGATTCTCCAATTAAAAATGGTTCCAGGAAATTAACAAGTTCATAAAAATATGATGTAAAACAATGTTACAATATTTACACTTCTATTTTTTACCAAATACTGAAAACGCAATTGAGCTTTCCATCCAAATTACTGAATAGGTCTGTGCATTATAGATACAATATGTGGCTTTGCCTAAATCTTCTGCAAATAGTTTTTATTCAATGTTTAAGTCTTCTTAAAACGCATTACGTCTATCTCTTTTTCCAGAACAAATCAGTCTACAATTATCCTTGAAGTTCGATGTATACCTGTAGTCTGGGACATAAATACAAATAATGTTAAGTACCAGCACCAAAATAATAATAATAATAATAATAATAATAATAATAATAATAATAATAATAATAATAATAATAATAACAATAATAATAATAATATAACTTACATGTTATGAAGTGTTTCTTTAAAATAGGTCATCAATATCAAAATTGTGAATATTCATATTAGCCTCATCAGAGTACGCTGCATAGCGAGATCCATCCATTTCTGGTGCATGAGCATTCCCATCTTCCAGCCTATGATTCATTCCTCCTATAGCTTTACCACATTCAGGACATGTCCCCCTTTCACTTGCTCCACCGCATTCTCCGATGGCATAGAAGTGACCGTTGGGACATTTGTACCAATGTCCAGCAGAAAGCCCAACTGCTTTAACTATTTCTGCCTTTAACTCATTTGACAATGGCTGAAGTACTGGATAACTGGACTGAACCATCTTCAGATACTTTTTCCACTCATCAATTTTAGTTTTCTCCATCTTCTCACCATTTTTTATGGTTTTATGCAAGCTGTCTAGAGCATTTCTTCTTTTCTGTGTAACTTCCATCTCATGCTTTCTAATGCCTGCCTCTAAAATATACAGATTGGCTATTAAATTGAGCCTAGATATTTCAGTCTCAGCATCTTGTAAGGCCTGGTCTGTCATTCGGTACTTCCAATACATCAACCATTTTATAAACCTTTGTATATGACTGTCTACAAGTGCAACATCTTGTCGAGTAGTTGAGTCCCTCCGTAATGAAGTAATGAAAATGTTCTTCATTCCCTTTGCAAATAATTTCTCTACTCCAGAAGCAGCTTCTAGTAAATTAATTTGGTTTTCTATAGCGTGGAGGTTTTCAGATGAGAGGACGTCAGGTGCTACAAGCATGTCTAGTATTTGCTGTTTGGCATTCGCATCATCGCCATTACCACCAAGCACTCCACGATCTGTTAAATTGTCAAGTCTGTATCTCAGCTCATCAACTTTCAGCTCTATGCTGTCTTTATCTCCAAGGATCTTCTGCTTTACCACTTCTATGTCTGACAGTATGCTTTTGATAACATTTCCATAGCGAAGATTTTTTCGTATTGGAGTTTTACATCTTGGACACACTTTTAACTGAATTACATCATCTTCGGTGCTGGAATCTTGATTATCATCAACCCATTGGTCCAGTCCATTAACTTCAAAAACATGTCCACAATCTTCAAGTTCAATAAAAAGAGCATCAGGTTCATCTTCATCACCAAAGAAAATTTCAGTCACCTCTTTACGATCACAAATTCGACATTTCTTAGGGCAGGGTTCACCACACAAACCAATACATGAATGTCGACACTTGAGAATTTTCTTGCATGGTTGATCACATCGAGGACGATTGCATTTTTCACCACACAATTTGGTACACCTGTAGTGTTGACATCGCCACTGACACCTTTCAGCACAAGTATTACAGGGTTGTCCACACTCACCCTGACATTTTCCATGGGAACAACGATTTTCACATGGAAGACTACAGGGTGGACAATATACTGTACAGTCACCTTTACAGGAATGGCCACAGACCAGAGTCCGACCACAGTGCGCTTTACATTCAATATGTAGCCTTCCATGACTGCATGTGCCGCAGGTGCCTCCACAGCCATCACCACAGCTCAACTGTTCTTTACATTTTTCAGGACATGGATAGTCTTCAGGCTTATTTCTACACATAGTTTCCACCTCATGTCCACATGGCCAAATTCGTGAAATATATTCCCTACAATTTTTTGGAAGAACACATCTAACGCCACATACATTTGTACACTGGTGTCCACATTCTAGGGTTTTCTTGCATTTTTCAAGACAAACAAAGTCCTCTGGGTCCACGCTACATGGTACATCTTGCAAGTGATCACATCTTGGTATAATCTTAGGGATTTTTGTCATACAATTGCCACATTCTTCAAAGCATGGTTTCAGACATGGGTGTTTCTGGTCACAAATCTTTCTGACACATGGCTTACGACATTTATAAATCTTGTGTTCTGGATCAGCTGGGTGACATGTGAGTACACATACATGTCCACATTTCAAGCGTGCTTCACAAGGTTTCATGCACCCACCTTCAGGCGCACTGTGAAAATCTTTCTCTGTTTTGGCTTCTATTGTTGTACCTGGATGGTTTTGACACCGCAAAAGTAAAGAGGTTCCTATACAATCTCTCCTCTCCATATCTGCCTGTATCTTCTTCCACAGTTCACTGTGATCAGCAAGAAATGAGATGTTTCCAACACAGTAGAATCCAATTTTGGCCCTTGACAATGCCACACAAACTCTGTTCTCTACTGCCAGGAAACCAATTTTACCCTGACTGTTGCTCCTTACTAATGATAGGATGATGATATCATTCTCTTCTCCTTGGAAGTTGTCAACTGCAGTCACATGTACTCCACCAAAAATAGACATCTTCTTCATTATTCCTTTTAATTTGAACAGTTGACCTTTGTATGTTGTAAGGACTGTGACACGTGATGGGTCATAACCTTGGAGAAGGATGTACCGACACAGCGCAGCAACATACATTGCTTCATGTTCATTTGCATGACTCAGTAGCTCTTCATTTTCAATTTCTGGGTATTTGTGGTTGATGAAGAAAACATTGGATCCTACACCTTTGACATTTTCATACTCAAACACAGATTCATGGTCTTTAAGTCCAACATATATATGATCCATCAATACAGAAATTTCTGGTCGCATTCGATGTTGCAGCTCCAAACAGTCACAGTGCATGTTATTCTTGATCATCCTTTCAAAAAGGGAATAATCTAGATTGAATTTACGAGCTAATTTATAGACATTTGGAGTTGGCCTGAGTTGTTTATGGTCACCAATTAAAATCAGCTGTTCACAGCTAGCCGTGAGTGCAGTAATTATATGAGCTTCGAGTACTTCAGCAGCTTCCTCAACTATTATTATTTTGGGCTTCACTCGCTGCAAAATTGATCGATATCTTGCAGCACCAGTTGTTGTCATACCAATAACTGCAGCATCTTTAAGAATTTCAAGGTCTTCTTCTAAGCCAATCTCTTGAAGTCTCTGAGCTTCTTTTTCATACTTTCTCTCCAATTGTGCAATGCATTCTCCTTGTTGCTTGGTGTATCTATTCAACCAATGATGGTACAGTCGCCAACGATCTTCAATTTGAAGTTGCCAAACATCATGCACACCATCTGCTTCAGACACGTGCATGCTGGCTTTGTTTCGCATATGTGTTCTTATTCTCCCTTTAACCTTCTTTTTGTTATTAACAGTTTGCCATTCTTCTCCACTCTGCTTCTCATTGTGCTTCTTTGCTCGTGGCTTGCGAGTTGGTTTATCTGATGTTAATATTTCTACTGCTTCATCACCGATTCGCAATTGCTGGAGCATGTCAGCTTCAGTATCAACTTTCACTTCTTCAACAGGTTTATGATTATTCATTTGGTCTCTAGATCTGCTCTTGTGTGCTGAAAGTGTTTGGTGATCCTCTACTTCCATCTCTTCATCTTCACTAGTAGTATCCTCCTCTTCCTCCTCCTCCTCCTCCTCCTCGTACAAACCTACATCAAACATGACTTGCTCAAATGGATTACCAAATATGCCAAGCCAAAAATGAAGCTCACTGTACCTTGTTCCTCGGCCAAAGCTGTAACGCATCAGGCTTATTTGATGTTTATAGGATATAAATTTTCTTAAAATATTGAGCGGTATAAGACTGGTGCTTAATTTATATAGACAATCTCTACTCTTTGAGATCTGTTCTTCTAATGATTTCATGTTGTCTTTAATAGTTTTGCCACATGTAAAAATGGCTCTTGGGACAACTCGGTCTGTGCGATTCTTGTGTTTGATTTCTGAGAGAGTGCACTTCTTCATTTTCTCACTGCTACTTCTGGAACCAGCTCGTACAATGCCCTTCTTCTGAAAGTTATAAATCCCTTCCAAGAATTGATCAAGTGCATGATTGGTGTAACAGACAACAAGTAGAGGTTGTTGTTCTTCTTTATTCCATAGTGGCCTGTTATGGAGTAAAAGCTGTGCAATCTTTAATCCAATGTATGTCTTTCCTGTCCCCGGGGGACCCTGTATAACTGATATTTCTTTTGTTAGAGCTGAATGAACAGCTGCTAGCTGGGACTCATCAAATCCTAGAATATCAGCACTTGGCCAAGCTGATTTCTTAAGTATGGGAACCTTTGTTGCTCTCTTTGTTTCGTTACTTTCGAATAGAGGTGTTACTAAAAGTTCATCCTCACTATCAGAATCATCGAATAATGGTGTCTTCAGTACTGGAACGTTCAAAATAGGGGTAAAATCAAATGTGATATCATTTTGAGACCCCAGAAACATGAAGTTCCTCCTTCTCATGTAAGCTGGTGGTTGTACATCTGTATCACAGTGTAGGAAATACTGCTCAAAGGGAAGTTCTCCTTCTTTGATCTGCTGGAGAGCTTTTAGAACATGGTTACATGCTTCAAAATAAGCTGATGTCTCAACCATTGTAAATTGCCTTCTCTGTGAGCTTTGAACAAGTGTTGATACAGTCTGTGTTCCACCGACAAAGTTGACATCAATATGACCATTTTGAAGACGTTTTGGTATACGATTGGCCACTGTAGCAAAATACATTGTTTTGAAGTCATCATTGGATAGGCACACTAAAGCTCCATATATGAGGCGTTTTGAAAACTCCCAATTAACTCTTTTAAGTCGAGAGATGTCAAACTGTAGAGTGTGAAATAGGCCTTGGTTTGTGCACACTGACTGAACAATTTCAACTCCTGTATAAACACGGATGTCTTGGTAGTGTCGGCGGATATTTCTGTCTTTAAGTTGGGAAATATACTCATCAATTCCTTCTCGCAATGGAGCCAAAAAATCTTCTCGATATAACCTAAACTGAACATCCAGGTAATGGTCCAGATCTTGGTACTTCCCTCTCACAATATTGGGTCTGATATAAGGTTGTTCTTTTGTCAAAACATCTTCAGGTGTTGGGAAAATGCTCACTTCTCGGAAATCATTAGGTGGGCCATTTACATGCATTTCATCTTGAACTGATTCATCATCCTCTGGTGATTTTACTTTCTGGCCCATTCTTTTCTTATTCATCAAATCATCTCTCAATGCAACCAGTTCATTTAGGCTTTTATCTATATCAGAACTTCTCATGACACAGCTTGAGTTCAGAATACCCACCGTCACTTGTAATGATGCAAGAGGTGTACAGAGATTGTCATATGAACTTGGCAATCGTGTTAATGTCTCATGAAGAAAATGAATTGTATTGTGTATGAATTTTGGAAATTCCTCTTGTAGTCGACCAGAAGTTTCTGTTGGCATTTTATTGATGAAATTACTGACGTGAGTTTGGACGAATTTGGAGTTTTGTATTTCATTCAGAAACATTACAAGGTTATGTGACATTGGACAGTCACAAGCTTTTGATAACACACGCACTATCAATTGAATGGCATGACCACCTAAAGTCTCTGCATTGATTGTGTTTGAAAAATCCCTGAGCCTGCCAGTCAAGTACATGACAATATCTCCTGGGTCTTTTTCAACCAACTGTTTAAGAACAGGAATGGATATTATTCTCCCAGTATGCTGTTGATCATTCCCAAAATTGCTCCTCTGGCCTTGCCGTCGTGCTTCGTCTGTAGCAGGTTCTCTATGTGTTGCATAGTTTGTAGGTAAGTGATGCAACCTGTTTCTCCCCCTGTAACTAGGTGCATTATTTCTTTGTGGCTGGTTCATTCCTCTTAGTCTATCTCGTACTGGACTATTGCTCCTCCACGAAGGTCTTTCTGTTCTGTCTTGATGGGACGTTTGCCTGTGACGACCATTTCTCCTTTGGGTAACCTCTGACCGAGATGTGGGTCTGGTAAATTCCTGTGTGTCCATGTCTGATAAAGTACACTTGATCTGTGAAAAGAACATAAAGTTGGGTTGGCCATTATAATTGGCAGTGGGGTCAAGAGTTCTGTGTAGAAAAACATCATACCCTAAGCAAATTGAGGAGAAATATCACATATATTACGGTACACGAACGAATCAGTGAGCAAGAAAGATATGAGGACAAGGAATATATGTCAAGTAGTAAAACTGACTACACAGAGAACAAATAAATGTTTGGAACTGTGAACATTTGGATGTACTTATAACAGAAGTATTGAAAAGATGTTAAAGTATTAAAGGGTATTAAAGGATACTACTAATCTTAGATCAAATACCACTGTCGTTGTGCACATCGTAATGAACTCAGAATAGTTAAATGTTAGTTAATTAATAAATAACTATTAATAACTAACTATTAATTTGATGTGACTTATTTCCCAATAATCATTCGTTTTGTTCATGAAAACCATGTTTACCAGTTTCACGATATTTTGGCAAAAAAATTCGCACTTTTCAAACTGATGAACATGAACATCTTTTTGCCCACGTCAATGGTAAATTCGGACAGTATGTGTCAAGTGTTCGATCCATATAAAAAACTGTCATGATATATCCAAACATCATTATTATGACAAATGTGCACCAAGAACACTGACAAAACCCAAACGGGATCAGAAACGCAATTTAAAGCAAACTGTTTATTGTTAGGCCAAAAAAAACAGCAACTTATGTTGCCCATAAGTCGGAAAATTGAAAAATTGGGTCGGTCGGTCGGATTTTTTATAAACTCGTGAAAACTAAGGGTATCGTAAATAGCCGAGGTATAAGTGAAAAAAACGCGACCCGATATTTCATATTTTTCAGTCGGTCGCTGAGGGCAACAAAACAATTTTTTTTTTGGCCTTATGTCACCCAAATACAAAATATATAGTGTTCGTCCAAAACTGTTGATTGCTGGTGTAAAGATTGCCTATAGTGCAAACTGCCAGTAAATAAATAATAATTTAAAAGAAAATAAAGTAAAAGAAAATGTATAATAAAAATATATACTACTCATATTAAAAAATAAATAAAGCCCAAGCTAGGAACTTATTACCAAACGTTTCAGCGTGGTATTAAGAATTTGTTTTCAGGGTTGGGTGATACCAAGGTGGAAAATGGTTGCACATATGGGAGTAATTCCTTGAATTGCAATAGAGAGGGTTCAGGCCAAAATACAATATATAGTGTTTTCATGTTTCGTCTGATATTTCTGTGGTATTCTGCTGCTGTAACTAATGCAAGATTTGTTCTGAAACTCAGTGTATCGTGCGCACTCAAGGGTTATTCGTTTTTTGCTGAAAAGACCCCTATATTTTAATGGCAGATTCGAACTACGTTCACTCCCACTGGGAAATATGCATTGTCGCTTGAATGAGAGCTAATTAAACACATTTTCCAGACCGGCGAAAGAGTATGTAACAGCCAATTGTAACAGCCTATCACGTGATTTTACTCAGAATGTCAACATGGGAAGAGGCTATTCCATTTTACGCAGGAATAATTGGGAGAAGAATATGTGAAGGATTGTATAAACAGAGATGTGTATACTGAAAAGTAATATCCATCCTTCTTTTGCATCGCTGAGCATTTCTTTTTTAGTATACTGGTTTAAAAATGCTGAATTTGCATGATTTGCGTTGTTTTTTTTTTATTAAAACGCCCCTAATGGTTGAATCCCGGGTTTGAAGGAGAATGTAACAGCACACTACGTGGATCGTTTGAATACAGTGGTGAAGGATTGGTACGATAGGGCACCGTTAGCTGCAGTTCTGTAGCTCGCTTGGTTTCGCTGTCGGTTATTTTGTTCGTCGTGGTGTTAACGCGAAACCAGGGAGCTACAGTTCCATCCTATGCGAGTTACCATATTTTACCGACCTGAA